TACTCATTCTATCTATATTTAGACAAACATTGAGTATATTCATTGAGTAATACAAACAACTGCACATATTGAGACCCAATTTTCATGATTTTAGTTACAAATTTTGGGAAAAGATTGGATGGAAAAGATTGCAAGGAAAGAATTTATCATAACAGTTTGGAGGGAGGGAATTTGTTGAAAGTGGCTCATATCTCATTCCTATAAGTATTTCTTGCAATGAAATCCTTTGGCTATATTTACTGAAACACGCTAATTCAACAATACCTACAAAAGGATCATTGCCATTCACAATCATTCATGAAAATATAACACTTTCATGTTCTTATTTTTTCATTGGTATGAAACAAAATGTTTAATTTTATTAAAATATACAAAATTGGAAATAACAAGATATAAATATCAATGTAAATCTTCAGACAAAAAATACATGCTTAAAAAATATCTTATGCATTCAAAATTACTCATCATTGAGTATTTGTAAAGACAACTAAAAAGAAGTTTTGAAAATGTATGAATCACAAAATGTTATCAAGATTTCCTTTTGCATATCAAACACAAGAACACTAAATATAAATTAGAGATATGATAAGGATTAAGTCATTTTCTAAAAGGTAAAGAGTAAAAAAGTTCTACTTCTGTCATGGTTATATATATATATATATATATATATATATATATATATATATATATATATATATATATATATATATATATATATATGTAGAAGAAAAGGTATGAATGAGAGTGAATATATTCACAATACAAGAGATGTATTTGTCCGGTTTCGATTATATCTTTGTTAATCTTCGTTAGAAAATCATGCATTTCTGACGAAGATATAATCAAAACCAGTCAAATACATCTTTTGTATTGTAAAGATATTCATTCTCGTTTGTAACTTTTCTACATTTGTCAACATGAACACGGTTCATTTATATATATATATATATATATATATATATATATATATATATATATATATATATATATATATATATATATATATATTTATATATATATATATATATATATATATATATATATATATATATATCTATATAATATATATATATACATACATATATACATATATACATATATACATATATATATATATATATATATATATATATATATATATATATATATATATATATTTATATATATATATATATATATATATATATATATATATATATATATATATATATATATATATATATATGAAAACCTAAGACAGATGAAACATGTGTCCTTACACAGAATCTTTCCTTGAAGAACAAAATGGACAATAGGGACATTTGTAAGGTTTTTCCCCAGTATGAGTCCTTATGTGTGTTTTCAGATTTTCCTTCCGTGTACATGTATAAGGGCAATGTGGGCAGGCAAATGGCTTCTCTCCTGTATGGGTCCTCATATGATAATTCAAATATGTCAAAACATTTGTGGAATAATGGCAGTAGAGACACTAATGGATATTGGTGCCGGAGCTGGTTAACTTTCCATCTCTGCTACTGCCTTTCTCAGTATACCACACACTGCCAATGAGGAGGAGGAGGAGGAGGAGGAGGAGGAGGAGGAGGAGGGGGGGGGAGGGGGGGGAAGAGGAGGAGGGAAGAAGAAGAAGAAGAGGAGGAAGAGGAGGAGGAGGAGGAGGAGGGGGAGGAGGAAGAGAAAGAAGAAGAGGAGGTGGAGGAGGAGAAAAGAGGAGGAGGAGGGGGGGAGGGAGAGTCGGAGAGGGAAGAGAGAGAGAGAGAGAGAGAGAGAGTGAGAGAGAGACAAGAGAGAGAGAGAGAGAGAGAGAGAGAGAGAGAGAGAGAGAGAGAGAGAGAGAGAGAGAGAGAGGGGGGGGGGGAGAGGGGGGGGGAGGGAGGGAGGGAGGGAGGGAGAGAGAGAGAGAGAGAGAGAGAGAGGAGAGAGAGAGAGAGAGAGAGAGAGAGAGAGAGAGAGAGAGAGAGAGAGGGACAAAGAGAGAGAGAGAGAGAGGGACAAAGAGAGAGAGAGAGGAGGGGCAGAGAGAGAGAGAGAGAGAGAGAGAGAGAGAGAGAGAGAGAGAGAGAGAGAGAGAGAGAGAGAGAGAGAGAGAGAGAGAGAGAGGGTGGGGGGGGGGGAGACGAGAGAGAGAGAGAGAGATAAGAGAGAGCGAGAAAGAGAGAGAGAGACAGTGAGAGATGAGAGAGAGAGAAGAGAGAGGAGAGGGAGAGAGAGAGAGTGAGAGATGAGAGAGAGAGAAGAGAGAAGAGAGAGGAGAGGGAGAGAGAATTAAGAGAGAGAGAGATTTTTCTTTGTTTGTAGATATGATAAAGTATGTGTTTCTTTTTAATATGTAGAAAACACAAATTCTGTACTGAATGTTAATATATACATAATTTTAGACAATCTACAAACAATTCAACAATTATTTAAAATATACAAATACCTTCAGTTCAATAGCACTTCAATTGCATTTTTAAGTGTTTCCAACAATTTGGGAATAGTTCAACAATCATAATTCTCAGGC